CCTCACTGGTAACCAAAATTAAAAAAAAAAAATGTGTTGGAATACGTTGGAGAAGAAAAGTACAGGGTAAATGCCATAGAAACCACAAAGTCTTCCTAAAGGCAATAAATAATATCTAAAATGGAGACACTCCAACGATTATGGATAAAAAGCTTAACGGCAAATATGAGTTCTTCTCAAGGTAATACGAAATTTCAAATAGAAGCCAGTTTTTGAGTGGTGGAGGGATTTCAGAACATGATTTTAAAGTTCTTCAGGGAGGGGCGCCTGGGTGGCGCAGTCGGTTAAGCGTCCGACTTCAGCCAGGTCACGATCTCGCGGTCCGTGAGTTCGAGCCCCGCGTCGGGCTCTGGGCTGATGGCTCAGAGCCTGGAGCTTGTTTCCGATTCTGTGTCTCCCTCTCTCTCTGCCCCTCCCCCGTTCATGCTCTGTCTCTCTCTGTCTCAAAAATAAATAAACGTTGAAAAAAAATTAAAAAAAAAAATTTAAAGTTCTTCAGGGAAAATATACACAAAAGATGTGGGACTGACACACGAAGTATAACAGAATAGAGCTCCGGTAGAGGTCCACACAGAAAATAAGAATTTAATGTACCGCGAAGTTGGCACATCACTGCAGAAAGACTTGGATGAACTACTAGGTCAGTGGCAGTGGTGTAGATCACAGTCCCTCTGGAGGCCAACTTTATTAACTCACGCCGCGTCCTGTACAGACAAGTGAATTCCAAATAGGTTAAAAAGCCAAATGGAAAACATTACCGAAAACACTTAAAGAAGTGAATGCGTAGATAAATCATAAATCAATGCTGTGAAATACAATTTAGGAGAATATCGTGACATTCTCGTGCAAGACAGGACCCTCCAGAGCCATACAGAAAATGACAGACGTGTGGTTACAGGAATTGGTACAGTGTTTACTGCAGTAACAGTTTGTGTTAGGTAAAATGCCGACACCATCAAACGAGAAATGACTGAATGGGAGATTATCATCCCCTTAGTCTATAATAGAAAGATAAGGAATATAATAGGAAACCGGGCCCAAGATCAAAGCAGTTAGTTAATGGAAAAAGGGGGTGAAAATGGCTAACACACATGCGAGATGAATCACACTGCCTTATAGACATCAGGGAAATGCACATCGGAACGAGGATGAGATGCTTTTGCGCGTGATAGGCAGAGATTCGGAGATTGATGCTGTATCGTGTTATGAGGGGTAGAAATAAGTTTCCTTAAACATTGATGGTAAGAGGGCAGATTGCTGCAGACCTGGGGGGCATGATTCAGGTCTGTGACACTCGTAGTGACTCTCACCTAGCACTCCAGTGTGGCAGCGGTGGTGGTAATCCTGTGACTTCCTGGAGTTGGTCATGGTCTTCGTGTAACTTCGGGACAGCTGCCGTGGTTGTATTCACACAATGCTGACAGCGGTGGGGGCAGTGACGTGGCTGGTGGTGGTGGCGGTACTTACATTACACACGACTGCCGGGGTGGCGGTTGTGGTTCCGTAAATGCGATGGTCATGGCGCTCACAGAATTCCATATTGTTGGTTGTGGTCCATATGTAACTGTGACGGTGTTGGAGGTATTCACATCATTCGACGACACTGCGGTTTCCACACAACTGTGTTAGTGGAGGGATGCACGTTCGTCACGGTGTTGACAGAATTGTGCAGTGCAGCGCACTGGTGGTATCCACAAAACCTCAACGTTGGTGGTAGTGGTGTTCATATAGTTCTCCTACCATGGTGGTGGTATTTGTCATGGTGGTCACATATGCCTGCTGTGGTGGTCATGATATTCCATACCTGCAATGGGGTGGTGGCGATGGCATTCAGATGTCACTGTGGTGTCGGTCGTGGCGTCTCCATAACCCTGTGGTGTTGTCATGGTAGTACATAACTTTATGATCATATTTCTGGTAGTCTTCCCTTAGCTGCATCTTGGCCAGCTAGTCACATAGCTCTAGAAGCCGGTCATGGTGTCCACGTGGCTCTTTCATGGTGCTGGTGTTCGTGTGCGCATAACCTGCAACTGTGGTACTTGCATTTCTGTGACTCTGTGACATTGCTGGTGTTGTTGCTTTGACTCTGTGATGTGGGTCGTGGTATTCACATACCACCGTGATGGTGGTGGAGGTTATGTGCACATGGTCTGTGAAGCTCAGCATGGTGTTCCTACAACCCTGCAACACTCATTTGTCATGGCATTAGCGCGACTGCACAGAGTTGATGGTGACAGTCATTGCATCTTGTGACGGTGGTGATGGTATAACTCAGACAACCCTGTGACTTGGTCGTGGTGTCCACATAACTCTATGATGGTGGTGTTGGCATTAGCACATCACTTTGAGATCATGCTAGTGATATTCATGTAAATCTGCAACTTTAGTTAGGAGAATCACATAACTCTCCTGGTTGGTGGCCATGGTATTCACAAGGCTCCGCAACAGTGGTGGTGGCAGTGTTTGCATGGCTCTGTGACAGTGGTCGTGGTGTTCATGTATCTCTGTGATGGCCATGGTGGTAGTATTCTCCTAGCTCTGCCTTGGTGGCTGTGGGATTCAGATAATTCTACACGGCAGTAGTAGTGATCTTCACAAAGCGCTGAGATGGTGTTGGGTGTGCTAATCCTGTAACTCTGCAAAGTCCATCATGGCCTTCTTGTAACTCAGAAATGGTGGTCATGGTGTTCACACAATCTTTCAGGGCTGGTGTGGCTTTCGCATAACCCTGTGATGGTGGTTCTGGTACCCATATAACTGTGAGGCTGTTGGTTGTAGTCATATAACTCTGTGATGTTGGTGACAGTATTCACAGACCTCTTCAATAAATTTGATCATCTTCCCATAAATCTGAGATGCTATTGGTGGGGTGTTCAGATAACTGCAGTGGTGCTTGGGGGGGCATTTGTGGTATTGGTGGTATTTGCATAATTCTGTACTGGTGGTGGTCTGTATATTTACATAGCTGCAGTGGTGGTGTGGGGATACATGTATTGCTGCAAAGCCAGGCGTGCAATCCATATAACTCTGTGATGATCATCGTAGTACTGATGTAACTCTGTGATGTCGGTGGATTTGGTATACACGTAGCTCTGCAAGGTTCGTCCCAGGAACACATAGCTATGAGACTGGATGTGGCATTCAGATAATTCTGTGATGTTTGTGATCACGGCACTTATATATCACCATGATGTTGCTGGTGGTAATCACATAACTGTGATGGTGTTCACGGTATTCCCATTTCTCGGTGGTGGTGGTGGTGTAGTAGTCGCATAACTACAATGGTGGTTGTGGTGTTTAATAGCTCTTGATGGTGGGCATGATATTCAGCTATCTGCAGTGGTTCTTGTCACAGTCACACGTCTGCAATGATGGTCATGGGGTCTTCCCATGAGTCTGCAATTGCGGGTGTGAAATTGTGTAACTCTGTATCTTTGAGAGGTAGTGGTGCTGTTATCGACACCGTTCTGCCACTTTGGTCATATTAATGACTTCACTTTGTAACATTGCTGATGGTGGTATTCACATAACCCTGGGATATCTGGGACACTGTTGTGGTGTCCCCGTGCTGTGACAGTGATGGATGTGGCAGTCCTGCAACTCAGCAAAGTGGGTTGTGGTCTTCACACATTTGAGCGATGGTGATAGCAATATTCGCATAACCCTGCCGTGGTGGCGGTGGCGTTCCCACAAGCATAACAGCAGTGGTGGTGCTCCCACAACCCTGCAGTGTTGTTCCTGCTTCTCATGTAACTTGGGACATCACTGCGGTATTCACGCGGCCCTGTGATGGGATGTGGTATTCGTGTAACTCTGTGCTTTGGTGGTGGTAAGAGTCACATAGTCCCATGGTGTTGGTCCTGGTCCACAGGTAGGTCTGTGATGTTGGTCAGTGTAATCATGTGCCTCTGCAGTGCTGGTGGTCGTCTGATTCGTGTGGCTCTACGACGTTGTTCATGGTATCCTCCTGACCACCGTGGTGGTGGTGTTCCAACAATCGTGTGATGTGGTGGTGGCGGTGACATCACAGAGCCACCCAATGGTTGGAACAGTAGTTACATTTTATGGGTACAGAGGCTCAGGCTCAGAGAATTTTAAAGTTTCACTTCGAGTTACGTAACAAGATATGACAGAGTCAGGCTCCAATTCAGGTTTTCTGAATAATTCAAATGCAGTCTTTTCTGTGATACACCATGAGGTCTCTTCCTGCGAAGTCTAATTTTAAAGGCATTGGTATAAAACATCTGTCCTTCAAACTCCCCAGGGCTTTGGAACACAAATATTGTATCTCTACCGTGCTAGTTGTTTATCTACAGCTTTCGTTATGTCCATATATTTACATACACACATGCACTTACATGTGTGAAACTGATTAAAAATTTAGCTACAAATTTAGATGTGTAAATTAGAACTTCTGAAAGTTTGTGTTATATAATGCAGGAGAGGGCTTTCTGGTAAGCCAAAAGAAAGCAACTATGAGGGTAATGTATAGTTTGTTCATGGAACCCAAAGTATATTTATTAAATAATGAAGTTTACCGTTGGTTGAAATGTTGGTATTATAGCGTTTTCATTACTTCTTTAAAAATGATAAGCCTCTAGGCCCTCGTAAAGGACTAGAAATACGATGGGATGTTGGGCTCTGAGTGGTGGTTACACGCAGGTACGTGTTTCGGCAATAATTGAATTCTGCATTTAAGACTTGTGTGGTTGACGGTACATGTTACAACGCAACACAAATTTTTAAAAATGTACCTCTAACTAAAATGAAAATACTGATGGAACTCAGAAGAGTCAAGTCTAGTACCGACATAGGCACTGAGGTTAGTTTCGTAAGGGTGTGGGTTATTGCTTTTACAGAAGATAACAAAACCTCATGATGTACATAAAATGAGATCTAAGAAATATATATGGCTTTCCAAAACGCCCTTTACACAGTTAAGAACTGTCTCTTCGTCTCAGTCCCCAGGGCTCATGATTTACGTTTTCTTCCCCTTCCAGTACTTGGGGTGCATTGAAGTTCTCCGCTCAATGAGGTCTCTTGACTTCAGTACAAGAACACAGATTACCAGGTAAGCCCTCTTGAATGTGGACTCCCATGACTTTACTTTGGAAAGGAATGATTTCAGAGTTTGCAGCCTAGAAATTTCCGAGGGAAACTTTGCCCCTTGAGTGCTGGTGACGGTGACAGGGAGGGTATTCAGGATTTCCAAGTGTTCGTCCCCACCTGTGATGCATGTCTCTGACATGAGCACCCTCGGGGACACTCCCTGCTCCTTCCAAGCTCTCTTTATAATGAAGCTTCAGACATGCGTGGTGCTTGTGATTGTTCCTTTACACACGAAGCCCTAATACAAGCTTGGTATTTTAAAGTGTACTCAACTGTGTTATTTCTTTCCAAAGAGAAAAATGTGTCAGGAGGGAATTTTCAACTGTATACACAGGGAATAAAATGTGTGGATTGGAGGCAGAAATACTCATGGCGGTAGTAGTTTAGGAAGCAGTTGGTTCTTTGAGGGGGTCAGCGATTTTGAGCAGGGGTATGTATCCTCCACCGTCAACTAGATTCTAAGCTTCCTGAGAGCCAGTTCTGTATTTAAGCATTGTTTTTAATGAAATCGTAACCTTTTAGAGCTTATACCTTTAAAACATGTTGGTTTGGAGTCACCTGGAAGAGGAAAACTGGAAAGTCAGGAGGGTTCATGAGATGGCACATTTCCGTGGGTGACCTTAGCTTGCTTTGGTATTTGTAGAATTATTTGCTCTAAATAGTGACCTCAGAAAATGCCTCATGTTTATGGCAGTCAAGTCACTGTATTGTCTGTCTTGGGGTTAGCAAGCCAGAGTCTAACGTTCGAGCTTTAGAAAGTAATTATTTGTAGTAATAGCTGTAAATGATGCACACGCTTTAATTGTGGCAAATACTGGAATGATATGTCTTCCTCACGGAAGAAATCTGTGTTCAAAAGAAGGGATGTTTCTGTCCCTCCTGAAGCGGCTCAAGACACGCGTGGTGGGGACACAGCAGCATTGTAAACTGCACTCAGGGAAGAATCGTGTCCATCGATCTGCACAGGATGGCCTACGGCCTTGCCGAGGCAGAGGGGCGGTACCGTGCAGTGGGAGCGTTCCGGAAACCAGCGGGAGCATTTGCGGAGCGAACCGTCTGTCCCACACACCAAGTGTCAGGTGCAGGCGGCTCTGGCCGCGTCTGGGCCACGGGAACACACACCGGTTCACCTTCTCGTGGTGGTGGTGGTTTCGTTAGAGAGAACTGTTGGCTATTTCTGCCGAATTCCTGTAACAGATCCTGCCCCTTCTGAGATGCTTTCGTATCGTTTAAATTCTCTGGATGTATTTATTGAGCTCTGCACGTGCAGCATGCCGGCCGCCGTGGGTTGTCCTTCCTGGCCTCCCGGTGTGGGGACGCAGACCTGGGGACCAGCGGTGGGTGGTGGAGGGGGGTGAACAGTCCCTGTGTGCCCTTGATCGGGGTCCCGGCACTCTCTGGGGGGGAGGTAGTGAGGACACTGCGGGAGGAAACTGCAGAACAGATATGGGTGGATTTGGACCAGTAGGTGTCTTTCTCGATCCCGTTCCATTTAGACGCTGGCAAAGGCTGGCGGCGTAATGGGCTGAGGGGGGTGCCGTGCTGGGACTCAGGAAACTTGGTGAATTCTGGTTGCACCAGAAGAGCCTTGGCTTTATCAGGCTTTTTGAAAACTACGTGTGCTTGTCTGCACGATGCTTTCTGCCTCTTGCCTTGCTTTTATATCATACGACACGGTCCTTATTTTAGGTAATAGCTGGAGACCCCTTGAAGGAAACTGACAAATCGATGTCAGAAAGAAGCCTTTGCCTCCCGGAGAGGAATGTCCAGCAGTGTCCTGTAGGTGGGCACACGTTGGAGCTGCTGAGGCCCCTGGGGTCTTTGAGTGCTCACCAGGCCAGTGACTGCTCTCTCCCGCCATGGTTTTCTCTTAATACTAAAGGCAGTCTCGGAAGGTTGCCAGAAAATGTGAGGTTGTGGTTAGGTTTTATTAAATAGGCTCTAGGAAGTTGTGTTTCCAAAGGCTCCCCAGACATGACGAAAAAATATTTGTCTATCTATATACATATATATGTGTGTGTATACACATTATATATATATATGCACACACACACACACACATATATATGTGTGTGTGTGTGTATATATATAAAGCTTATTTATTTATTTTGAGACAGAGTGTGTGAGCATGAGCTGGGGAGGGGAAGAGAGAGAGAGAGAGAGAGAGGATCCCAAGCAGGCTCCAAGCTGTCAGTGCGGAGCCCGATGTGGGGCTCGATCTCACAATTGGCAAGATCATGACCTGAGACAAAATCAACAGTCAGATACTTAACCGACTGAGCCACCCAGGCGCCCCAAAATTTTCTCAAGCAAGTAACCAGCCACTTACTACGCCTCTGTTCCACTGTTTCAAGTTTTGGATGTAAGCATCTTTGGAGGCTCTGGCGGCCAAACCACGCATCCTTTTGTTGGGGTCAATGTAGTTTTGTGCTGTTCCGTCTGAGTTGAGGTGGATCGTCATGCCTTCGGTAGAGTCACCCGTGGGTTCCCGACCTCTTACTGGTAGATAACTTCTACAACTATCCCAGAAGTTGCCATCGACTCTGAGTTGCAGCGGTGGCTGTTAATCACCTTGTACCCCTAACGCTTTGGGCAGAGCCTTGGGGACTGCCTACCGCGTGGAGGGACGTCCTGTACTGTACATGGAGCCCCCCTCTGCCATTTACCACTTGTGTGGAAAGGCATACAGGCATAATGCCCACATCAGTGGCTGTTGTGGGAAATCGGGTGCCCAGTGGGCGGGGCCTACAAAGTGTACCGCACAGCCCCTGAGGGGCGTCAGTGAGGGTCTCCAGTTGGTGTCACCGAGGTGGACAGTTGGCGGGGGGTCCCAAGCAGGGAGGACCCAGCTCCCCGGCTGGGCGTCAATCAGAGACCTCTGCTTTCATCTGCCACTGGTTTCCAAACGAGGTTATGGTGGCCAACGGTGGTGGGCACCCACTGTCCCAGCGAGTCGCCTGCCTGGCCTGAGCCCGACCTTCAGATGACCGCGCGAGGGGACCACATCGTGTGCCTCCCTGAAACGTCCTCACCCAAGATGCTCCCACCTGTCACGGCGTGGGGGGCGGGGGTGTTGAACGGTGTTACAGAGGGACGAACCATGTCAGACAGGGAGGTCACGGGGGAGAACGTGTTCTCTGCCCATCGGGCCCGCCCTGCACATGGATAGGAAGCTCCCCATGTGCCTTTGGTCACTGGACCGGCCCTGTCCTTCCTCCTTTCCTCTGATTTCCTCATCTGCTCATTTTTATCTTATTTATCGTGTTAAATTTTACCTATTATTGGGGGTCATCTTAAGCCATTTTTAGGACATGGAAGGGTGTAAATATATACACACTTAAGCCCAGAGCACTCAGCGACGTGACCTGTCTTCAGCCACAAATGCAAACATCTGACGTGTGTTGTTGGGTCTCATTGACCCCGGCTGACCTCCTGCACCGCTTGGACTCCCCAGATAAAGGTCACGTAGGCATGTGGACTCAGCCACGTGTGACTTTGCTGCGCTTCTGGATGAGCTCAGGTTCAGCACGTTGTCCTAACGTAAACTCATTGTGGAGAGTCCATCAATAACGGAATCTAGTTTCGTGGGGTTTTGTTTGTTTGTTTTCCTCATTTTGTTTATGTAAAAATTTTTTTTTAATATTATTTACTTTTGAGAGACAGAGAGAGACAGAGCGTGAGCAGGGAAGGGGCAGAGAGAGAAGGAGGCACAGAATCGGAAGCAGGCTCCAGGCTCTGAGCCGTCAGCACAGAGTCCGACGTGGGGCTTGAACTCACGGACAGCGAGATCATGACCTGAGCCGAAGTCGGCCGCTTAACCGACTAAGCCACTCAGGTGGCCTGTTTGTTTTCATTTCAAAAGCTGTTGTAGTTTCAGTGGACCCCAAAGAGCCTGGTTAGGCCCAGAGCTCCACCAGCACCACCCTGCGGATGTGACCTGCCCCCCAGTATTCTGTCTGGTGCGCACACCCAGAATCAGCATGCTTGGAAAAATCTCTATAAAAAGGCACCAAGTCTGTTTAGTCTGAAAATCAAAATCAAAACCTGTGCCTTTCGGGAAGGTATTTCCCTTTTGTTCTGTTCCAGCATATCAGTGGGGTCTCGGGAGACGTTCACGGCTGATGCCGTCTGTCGGGGTCGGTTCACTGCCGCGTGGCCACAACCTGTTCACATTGTCAGCACGGGGCAGAGGGCAGTGAAAGTGGAAGTAGCCGTCGGCCCGCCAGTGGGAACGCTGTGACATTGCCGTGTTTTCTGTCTGATGTTTCACGCGGGCACTGTGTTCAGAAGGCGTGACCTTGGTCTGAAAGTGCAGGACAGTTAGTTGGTGGCTGCAGGGTCTTGAGTCTGAGCAAACTAGCAAGCACGCACTGGCGATATGACAACCCAGGGACAGAGGCCCGGGGATGTGGCGCTGTGATCGCGGGGGCTCGTGATAGCAGAGGATGTGGCCTGGCTTCCAGAGTGGTCTCTCTCCCGTCCTGTGCTTGGAGGGGCCCATCTTCAGCCTCGGCGTGGCCTTGAGACTCTGTCCACCCCCCCTTCTCTGACTCGCGATGCTCCCTCCTCTCCGGTCACTGCTGGCTCCCAGGGTTTTCTACGAGCCCTTAAAGAAGACAAAGTCTGAGGTCAAAATTCCACCACACGGTTCGTCATCCGTGTGCATTCCACCCCAGTCCGCTGCGTTTCCTCTCGTGTGTGTGGCAGCCTTCCTGAGACTGCGTATGCCCTGGTCAGACGTCCTGCAAGCGAGAGGCCCCCCCCTCCACCTGCACCGGCGGCCCCCAGAACCCTTCCCATCACACCTCCCACACGGCGGTGTGGCGTGGCCACCGTGGCAAGTGTGTACTGCGTGGTGTGGGGACAGGCTGCATTTGCTGACAAGGTATCTGTGCTTACAGAGGCCGTGCCGGGCTCGGGGCAGTGCCCAGGCTCTGGGCAGCTGCTGTGGCCAGAGACGGA